AAACAGTGATATAACAGAGTGGTTTAATGCCAGAAAATGTAAGCATGTAAGAGCAAAAAAATCTGTTTTGTTCACTAATACATTCCCGTTGACTAGAAATGGTTTTCAAATAAATTTAAAGATTTGATTTTAACTCTAAAATCATATATATTATGATGTTGGGGCATTGCAAGACCCTAGATCATTGAAAAAAGTTTTCTTTAAAATCAATACATTCACAAACAATGAATCATGGAACACTTCATCTAGAACTAATGATGTAATGTATGGGGATTAACATAAGAATAAATAAATAAATAAATAAATTGGTAAAATCAATACATTCAGAGCACCTGGGTGGCACAGTTGGTTAAGCGTCTGCCTCTTGATTTCAGCTCAGATCATGATCTCAGGGTCGTGAGATCGAGCCCTGCATCCGGCTTGGGATTCTCTCTCTCCTTCTCCCTCTGCCCCTTGTCTTTCTCTCTCTTTCCCTCTCTATAAATAAATAGACAGATAGATAGATAAGTAGATAGATAGATAGATAGATAGATAGAGGATAAATACATAAAATTGGTGTGTTATACTGATCCAGGGTAAGAACAAAGACTTCCTGCAGTCATTGGAGGTTTTAATGTGTTATCTTTCCACTTTCTCCTTTGAACCAGAAACTATTCAGAATTCTAAAAACTGACCCCCAAAAATTAATAAATTCTGATTAACCGAAGGTTTCCTTGCCTCTTATGTTAGGATATCTCACCCCAATATCTGTTTCACAGTGGAATTCCTCAGGAAATGCATACTGATGAGAGGTGTTTGTAGAAAGTCTTAGAGTTCCATCTTCCACAAAATCTATTGTAATTTCACCATCCATGATATATATATATATATATATATAGACTATATTTTAAATCATTCCTTTGGCCCTAAGCACTTACTTTATTGTATATACATCTATGTTTGCATGTGTATGTCCCATTTCCTGGAGGTTCTCTAAGCTTCTGAAGGACAGAGAACTTCTTTTTCTCTGTATATGCCCTGGGACAACACAAATACAAACTTTTTATGGAAATCATAAAAGTGAATAAACATATAAAAAGGCAAATAAATACTTAGAGTCCAGCACTTCAGGTCCCCTGGACTCTAATTACATGGAGATTTTGTCAGTCACAATAAGTATTTGAAATTTAGGATAATTTTTTTCCTTCTTTTCTTACAAATTTATACCTTATACCCAAAAGGAACACATTAAGAGTACTGATATTTTTACTTGCAAACAATTTGCAGATAACAATCTAATCTGTGCTTACTGTTTTTGCTTCTCAACATTTGTTGAGCTCAAGCTGTGTAAACAGAAGCACCATGTGGCTTGCTGAGGTGTGAAGGCAAGAAAGAGAAGAGAAAGGATGGATTATTGATTAAGACAGGCTTCCAGCCTGAGAGAAGTTGGTAAAGAGAACCCTGTAAGTAGTAAAAATCTGATAGGACAATTATGTGTGTGCATAGGCCAACTCTATACAGTTGGGAGATTCACAAAAAGCTTTCCAAAGCAGGGGATATGTAACTGGATCTTGAAGGATGAGTAGGAGTTTGCCAGGCAGCAGAGGAAATGAGCATTCTTGGCAAAGGAAACACCATGTGATAAAGGTAAAGAAAGAAGGAAAAAACAAATATTTCTAATGGCTGGAATTAGAATGCCTGGGTGCCTGAGGCCCCCCTCAGCACTCACGTAATATGGAGCACTTAGCATCAGTGCACTGACCCATTCTTTTATTATGACCCATTTACAGCAGTGTCTTTCCCACCAGACTTGAGAGCAGGCACCAATGAGCACTGATTTTTTTATGTCTACAGAACTTTACATAATGTCTAGCGCATAATAATGCAAAAAATTGTTTTACTTTTGTTACTTATTTTATTACATAAACACTAGGTCTACACCACATGTGGTGGTAATAAACATCTACACTCCATCATCATTTTAATGACTATATTTAAATAGCTATTTCTATGACAGTACAATGTGTACATTTATTATTCCCAGGTGCCTTAGAATAATTTTATCATGTTCCCTAGAACACAATGTGTTTTAAAAAGAGATTTCATCAGATGTATGAATTTTGGGAGACTCATATGCTTAATATAATAAAACTTTTAAAATCATATGACAAGGGACATCTCATTTATTGATGGCTTTTAAAAATCTACTTTGCATATCTGTAATTTTCTTTAAATAAGCTATGCACATTTCCTATTAAATACACTCTACACATTTAAATTTTTAATTTGTAAATAAGATCTATGTTTATTGTATTGACTAGTTATTACTGGTTTATAGGAGAACAATTAATTTATATATTTATTTTTGTAGCCTATTATCTTGTTGAACTTTTTATTAGTTTTAATAGTTTTAAATCAATCCATTGAAGTTTTTTTTAGTAGACAATCATATTATCCACAGGTAATATTAATTTTATCTCTGCAAACTGTATTCTTTACTTCTGTTTCCTGTGTGACTGTGTTGAGAGAAATCATAGAACAATGTTAGATAATGTATCAGCACCCTTTGTCTGTCTCAGTCTCTAGAATTTCTCCTATTTTTGCCCATTGATTTCAGATAAATCATCTTTATTAGGTTAAAGGTTTTTATTACTAATTTCCTATTTTATCAAAAATAGATGTTGAAATTTATCAATTACCTTCTCATCAACTAAAGTCATATGAATTAAAGCTAAATTGATCTGTTCTTTGGAACATTTGTACATTTAAGGACCATTAGGTATAATTATAATCACTTGTCCCACATAGAGTGGTCAGAGAACGTACATAGGCTGCGTACTTCTTTTACTACGTTAGCATAGTTCGTAGCATAGCTCAAAGTCTTCACACAGCGGTTGTCTGCTGAAGGGGCGGTACATTATATTTCTTCTTTAAGGGCTTGTAGTACCAGCTGTCGAAGGTTTGGTTAGCACCACAGCCAAAACTTAAAATACGGCAGCCCAGTTCCTATGTACTCTTACCCAAAGTGAAAGGTTCTGGCATTATATGGATTTATTCCTTTGACCTATTGATGGGGACACAATAGGACAGTGCCTGGAACACAATAGGTACTAAATAATATTTGTTGAATAAATTAATAAGTAAAAAATATTTAAGTTACAAGTGGCATTTTTTGGAAGTAGTTCTTGGACCCTTCTTTCAACTTTGCCTGTCATTTTTCTTCAATTTAATTTTTACTTCTAAAATTAAATTTTGACATTTATTTTTGGAGAAAATAATCATTTTATCCATACTTTTTACACATATTGACTTCACAGCCCCCCAAAAATTACCTCCCTGAAAAAGAGAAAGATCTATAATCGCTGTTTTCCTATCTTCACTTAAAGACGTATTTGACGATTCTTCCCCACACACCCTACCTCTGCTTTTTTTTTTTTTTCATTACTAAGGGGTAGGGTCTTTAATTTTAAACTTTCCTTATTATTTCTAACTTTGACTGTGGGCAGAGAATGTAGCCTGTATACTTTTTTTTGCCTTACTGAGATTATTTTGCCATCAGGGTTTATAAACATTCCAAGTGTAGAGAAAAGAGGGTGTATCCTCTAGGGTATAGAAAGTATAATCAATAACTATTAGGTCTTCTATTTACAGTTACTCTGATACTCCACCTCACCCTATCCTCTTTTGTCTGCCTGCTTGATCTAACAAAGACATGAGTGAAAGAGGTGTATGGAAAGAATGCTAAGCAAAGGAATGAATGTAACTGAACAAATTAAGGGGTATATAAACAAAAAGATCAAAATGTAAAAAGCCAATTATAAGACATGTTTATTGATAGGAACATTTTAAAAACTTAGTTTAGTAATGTCTAACTTTCTAATATAGAATGAAATGACAAGTATTTATAATCCTGTAATCTTGGCACTATAAAAAATGATAAAGAGTAGGGTTTTTTAAAGATTTTATTTATTTATTTGAAAGAAAGAGAGTACAATTGGGGTGAGGAGCAGAGGGGAAGCATACTCCCCATTGAGCAGGGAGCCTGATGCGGGGCTAGATACTAGGACTCTGGGATCAAGACCCTAGCAGAAGGCAGATGCTTAGCCGACTGAACCATCCAGGTGCCCCTAAAGAGTAGTTTTTAAATTTATAAAAATAAAACATGACAGTAATGAAGAGTCTAATTAAAATATACATGCCTATCATGGAGAATTAAAAGAAGGTAAGGTGATTTCAATTCTGGCTCTGTCACACACCAGTAGTATTTTGCCTTTAGGAACCCACTTAATCTCTTTAGACCACTTATTTATCTCTAAAAGGGGGATGTGCAGGTTGCTATAATAATGGTTATAAAGTACCTACCACTTAAGAAGTTCTCGATGGGTTCATATTTTCAGGAGCTAATTTTTTATTAAAATTTATATGAATTTGGGCACCTGGGTGGCTCAGTCGTTAAGCGTCTGCCTTCGGCTCAGGTCATGATCCCAAGTGTGGGATCCAGCCCCGCATTGGGCTCCCTGCTCAGCAGGAAGCCTGCTTCTCCCTCTCCCACTCCCCCTGCTTGTGTTCCTCTCTCACTGTGTCTCTCTCTGTCAAATAAATAAATAAAATCTTAAAAAAAAAAGACTTATATGAATGTAACAGTATTCAATCTTCAAACATTTTAAAGAGAAAGAAAACCCAGTATATGATACTTCCTTTGCAGAAAGACATATCTGCCAAAGTTATTATTTCTGAATTCTAAAAATGAACTTGAAATTTGCAAAAAGGAGGTAGTATTTACTGTGTTGTGATATTCAGATTAGTAGAATCATATTACCAGGTCTTTATTTATTATTATTTTTAACTAAAAATGTATTTTAGTAGAATATTCACTTATCTGTGAAAAATACAAGCAATCATTGGCTGTAAATAGAAAACATGTAAGATAGAAAACAAAGCAAATGCTGATACTTTAATAAATCAAAACAGAGTTATAAGCCTATGTGAAAATACAACAGTAATTACAACTGGTTTCTTACCTTTAGTTGCTTAAGCAATATATCTGTGTCTTCTAGAAATGGAAGTCAGTGGTATATCCAAAATAAACAGGGATATAGTGTAAATCTTGACATTGTCAAAATCCAGGTCCTAATTTTTTTATATAATAAATATGCTGATCTTTTTCCTTTCTGTAAACATGTGCAAACGGCTAGTTTTCCTAATCATTCCCAAGGAAAGAAACAGTTCTGTGGCATTGTCAAAGGAGGATTTTCATGGGTCAGTATTGGATTTGCGGATTTATATATGGATGAAAATAACAGCAACCAAATCACCATTATCCTTAGCTTGACCCGGACCTTATTAATATGTATAAGAGTTAGGGATAAAAGGGGGTTGCTCAGAATTACACCTCTTAACAAATCTGAAAGTGAAGTTAGCCAAGGGGAATACTGCCTAATGGATTTTATTAAAGTTACACTATCAATTCACCGAAGGTTATAATCTTGAAAGAACTGTATAGGTTTTTACAATGTATGATTAAATTTCTTAATACAGTGCCATCATATTAAAAACTATTAAAATATAAATAGAGTGAATTATTTATTCATTGATCTGTTTATTTTGTATTTTGTGAAAGAATTGCATGTGTGAAACATATCTGGGCAAGAGATAAAACAGCATGAGTCTGAGCTTGCCTGAAAGAATAATTCATACTTTACTGTGCAAAAAACATTAAGATACGCCAGTTAGCACCTAAGTGTTATTCTGATGACCCAAAAATAAATTTCCCTAAGAATTTTTAGTGCAACGTTTGACAATTTACATAGTCTCAAAACTTCGGCTTGTGACTGAAAATTCATGAACAGCATGAAATAAATACGGTCTCCATTTAGCAAAACTGCTTTCATTTCAATCTATCAGCTCCAAAAATACCTCCTTTTTTCTCCAATACTTGAACTATTTGTCCCGCGGACTAATTAGCCGTTGAACAACCCAGTAATGTTTACTGTTTCTGTTGAATGACCTCAGCACCCAGTGGGCTCCAAGGTTCTCAAAGGGGAGCTACCCCACGGCGCCTGACAGAGAAAATTAGCAGAGTACTGAGTCCTCTCTTCTTTTGGAAAGTTGGCTTTTGGGCTCTAGAATTTTAAAAGTAATATTTAATTTCTAATTATAAAAGAAAACATGTTTCATGAAATGTGGGTTACTATAGAAAAGAAGAAAATAAAACTGAAACGTTTACTCATATTCTTATCATAATCAATATTAACATTTTGGTTTATACTCTCATATATATAGTTTTTATATAAAATCATTCTGGTTTTATTTAATATTATGTTATCATTTTTATATTACTAAATACGTACCTAAAGTGTCCTTTTGAAGACTGCATCAGATTCTATCATATTCCATTATTACATAATTTATGGATTGACTTCCATTTCATTGGACATTTTTCCTCTGATCTCAATTTTTCAAAAGGCGTGTTCTTATTTTTAAATCATTATGTATATCTGTGATTACTTATTATTTTCTTAGGAATGAGATTACTAGATTAAAGTGTATTACCATTTTTATTACTTATATTGCCAGAATAATTTCCAGAAAATCTGGTTACCTGTTTGACTATATAACATTAAGTAAATGACTGTCATTTGTAATTTGTTGACTTCCTTCAATTTTTCAATCAGTATGTTACCAAATATACTATTTTAACTTACTTTTTGTAACTTAGTTAAACACATAGCCTTTAAACTGCTAGAATGGGTGTTTTTGATAAATCCACTCTGTAACAAACTTCCTCCAAACTAACCAATGTAGTCATGTAGGTCGCAATTTAGTTTTATGCTAAAATGTTATGGTGTCAGTCTCTTTAAGCAGAGTTACATAATCTACTTAGGAAAATAAGCCCCTTGCTTTGCATAACATGGAGGTATCTTAAACCCATCTCTATGAAATTAACTGAAAACACTCCAAAAAGCACAGAATGGTAGTAAATGTTAAAATCACCCATATAAAGGATAGTAAATAGTGAAGAGACACACAAAGAGAACTTCTCAAGACAGAAAGGAATTTAACTTTTCTCTGAGCTATATGAATATTTGAAATCCTAACAGTCCTGTGAGGTAGATACTGTACCTACTTAATTTTATGAAGGAGGAAATGAGGTTTGGAGGTGAAGTAATTTTCCCAGGGACACAATGGCTAGTATTGTATCAGAGTTAGCTGGGATTTACACCCAGATGGGCTTCCCAGAGTTAGCAAATGAAAATACAGTGTAAGTATATCCCAAATATTGCATGAGATGAACTTACAGTAAAAAATTATTTGATGTTCATCGGAAATTCAAATTTAACTGGGTGTTCTGAATTTTTTTCTCTGGCAACCCCGCACCAAGTCCTATCTGACTCCAGAGCACCACACCACCCTAGTATCTGGAAGGTAAAAGCATGAAAAATCAGATCAGGTCACCCACTTCAGAAAGGTGTCTCTAACAGCAACAGCAGAAGCATTGTAAATCACTGTTTGCACATGCCTGTAAACCCCTTAGCATATTACCTGCACATAAGTGCTCAAAAATGATAGTTTTTAACTATTACTTTTTGCATTTTTAGTATGCTCTTCATATCTAAGAAATTTTCTCCTTGAAATATTTTAACTGTCTTAATCATCCAATTTGCATCTATCAGTCAGGAAAGTTCTCAGACCCTCTGTGGACCTTTTTAATATTCTTGGGAGTAAGGTTTTTCCGAAAATTGCTACTTGTTGTCTAATACGGAAGACTCTTTTGTTCTTAAATCTAGTCTTCACTTTGCCCCTGCCTCTCTTATGCCAATTATCGCTACCCACTTCTGCGGGGAGGTGAATTCTGTGACACCATGCTAGATTTAAATACAGAGGTTTCCAAGTCACAGGCCTGAGTTTGAATCTCAGCTCCATTGTTCACTGGCTTGCGATTTGGAACATGGTAAGTGAACCTTCTGGGCCTCGGTTTCAGTTTTCATAGAACAGACATGATAATACCTTGCAGATTTGTTATGAGGATTAAAATGAGCTATCGTAATATGAAGAATTTATTTTACAGTTCCCGAAGCATAGTAAACACTTGATAAGTGGCTGGTATTATAATTTTTAAAAGACAAATAGCAGAATTAAGCTTTATTTTATAATAATTAGTTTGCTGTCATAAATTTCCTGGTTTCTTTTAAAAGTTGAAAAACATTTTTCTGGTTAGGAAATATACTAGGTTTAATTAGAGCAATCTTTTTCTAGTCTTCTTTTTTTTTTTTATGTTATGTTAGTCACCGTATAGTACATCTTTAGTTCTTGATGTAGTGATCCATGATTCATTGTTTTCGTATAACACCCAGTGCTCCACGCAGTACGTGCCCTCCTTAATACCCATCACCAGGCTAACCCATCCCCCCAGCCCCCTCCCCTCTAAAACCCTCAGTTTGTTTCTCAGAGTCCATAGTCTCTCATATCATCTCTCGCTCTGATTTCCCCCCCTTCATTTTTCCCTTCCTTCTCCTAATGTCCTCCATGCTATTCCTTATGTTCCACATATAAGTGAAACCATATAATTGTCTTTCTCTGCTTGACTTATTTCACTTAGTATAATCCCCTCCAGTTCCATCCATGTCGATGCAAATGGTGGGTATTCATCCTTTCTGATGGCTGAATAATATTCCATTATATATATGGACCACATCTTCTTTATCCACTCGTCTGTTGAAGGGCATCTCGGCTCTTTCCACAGTTTGGCTATTGTGGACATTGCTGCTATGAACATTGGGGTGCATGGGCCCCTTCTTTTCACTACATCTGTATCTTTGGGGTAAATACCCAGTAGCGCAATTGCTGGGTCATAGGGTAGCTCTATTTTTAACTTTTTGAGGAACCTCCATACTGTTTTCCAAAGTGGCTGTACCAACTTGCATTCTCTAGTCCTATCTCTTATGTGAAAGATAAAACTAAAACAAATACAACTAAAACTAAAATAAGATGACAACATTGGGAATTTGTTCCCATATATAGCCATGGAATATTCATTTTCTCATGGATTGTTTCTTATTTGAAACTTTCTAAAATGATTTAATGAATTAAATATTTGGAGCAATAATTCTAATAAAAATTTCTTCCTCCTGCCAACTTAACTTCCAGTTGACATCATGAAACTTCATAGAACTTGTGATTATAAAATAGCTCTTGCCCCAATGAACCTCAATGCGAGGTCATCGCACACAATGGTCCAGAAAGAATTCTTGAGACATTTACCATGCTACTTACTAAATTCATTTAAGTAGCACAGGGACAGGTCCCTCGGGCAAAAAGAGCTGCACATTTTGCCGTGTGAGGCTGGTGGTTATTGACTTAGTAATCAAAGGGAAGGGGGGCATGCAGGGAGTATCAGATTACAAACGTTTCTTTGAATTTCCACTCCTAAAACTACTTTTGTAAGATTCCTGTGCTGCTTATCATTCAGTTCAATATTAACTATTGGTGAGATATACAGGCAGTGGGGAGACCTTTAAGGAATGTAGCAAACAGCACATATTTGTTCCTCATCCAAACTATGCAGGCTTTAGGTCAGCCCTTTGGGCTAAGGGTAAACATTTTCCTGCTTCTGTCTCTCATCAAATTGCTCAATCAGTCTCTCTCTCTCTCTCTCCATCTCTTTCTCTCTCTTCCCCCCCCACTCTCTCTCTCTCTCTCTCTCTCCATCTCTTTCTCTCCCCCCCACCACTCTCTCTCTCACATAAAATTCTTTACTTCTTTGGAATGACTCATTTGTTTTATCTCAAAGACACCTTTCTTTACCAGCTCTCACACTCTTTCATGTACCTTTCCCCTCCCAAACCATAATTAAGGATGGACTGAGTATTACCGATTCTTGGGATAATGCTCACTAGCTGTGTAGTCTAGAGAAAATGACTTAATCTTTCTGACCTTCAATTTCCTTATCTGTAAAATGAAAATGTAATGTCTACCTCATTAGGTTTTTGTGAAGATAAATGGAGCAAGGTTATAGTGTATCACACACTTTTGGTATACACGGTAAATGTGCTCTCACTCTCCCCTTTCCTCTGAGCTCTTGGACTGCATCTAAACCAGAGCTCTGCAGCACAAGGCTGAGGCCTCACCTGTTGTCCCACATGTTGTCATGGGACTTCTGGTAGCCAGGTATGTGCAGCTATTAAATAGCTAACTTATGTAAAGCTGTAGA